ATCCATGTAATGATCACAGCAACTCTCAGGTAGATTTTAATATCACTCAGTTTTACAAATAGGGCAAGTGAGGCACATGGAAGCTACTGCCTAAGTCACTCAACCTATAAGGACCAGAATTGGGATTTGAACCCAGGCAGCCTGGTCCAGAGTCCGCACTCCTCCCCATTTGTTAAACTATAGGAATATATAAGAAAACACAGGCCAAGCTATGATAACAGGGTCCATGCTTGGACAAAGCAAAGTTAATATCACCTCTGACACATTACCTTCACTGCTTACCCACATCCACTTCCTTCCCACTCACTCCCCTAAGTTCTTTTCTTCCTAATATTACTACTAATATTACTACTAATGTTCCCAGGGTGACAGTTCCTCCATGATCAGCCCTGCCCACTTCGCAAATTCAAGACCTCAGCAACATCTAACCACTGCTGGCTACACACCCTGCTCAGCCTCTAATCCAGGCACCACCATCTCAAATCCTTACTTAAAAGACACAGATTTGGACTCGACCGCCTCCAGGCAACAGGCCTTCTCTGAGAACCTCCTGGGTGCCCAGCCCCGAGACCAGCATTTGGAAGAAGATATGAACGAGCCACACCCTGACCTCCGGGAGCCCACAGTCCAGCAAGGAGAAACAGTCATGTAAACGGATCTCTGGACTACCCCGCGGTGAGTGCTAAAAATAGAGGTGTGTCCCCAATGGGCTGAGGGCACATGTGTCAGAATGATTCACCCTGCATGATGGGAAGAGTTGGTTCCAAGCGCCTCTGGGTGAGGTCATTGCTCATGGAGAGCCCTCAGCAACCTACCAGAAGGAGCAATGAACTGGGGGGGTAGACACCCGGGGGTTCGTGCCAACTTCGCTAAGCGACTATGAAATATGTCCTCTCTGGGCCCTAAGGTGCCCCTATGGAAGCGAGAGGGCCCCCCAAGAGTGCAGGAGATCAGTGTAAGTGATTCAAGGTTGGACTCATATTGACTCATGGACAGAAAAGTTCTCATTGCTCACTTCCCTTCCGATCCTCCCCATGGCATAAAGGAGCAAATCTCAGCTTTGGTGCCAGCTTGTCTTTAAGCCTCTGAAACACTTGCCAAACTGCTTTTTGAACAAAGAGGGCAGGCCTCACTCAGGTTCACAGCCTACCGCACACATAATATCTAGCTAGGATTTAATAACGTTGGTTTCCTTGCACTGTACTTACTGTAACTGTTACCTACTATATTTGATGAGGGAATATTACTTTCCCATTGGTAGTAGTGTATAAACCCTTCTTTTAAAAACAAACTTAAGTTTAAAAAGTGAGTCCGTTTACAGGTATACAGCAAAGAACGTTACAGTTGGTAAAACCTCTACGTGGAGCAAGTTAACGCTTGTTAACCTTGCAAGCACATACAAAAAAAGGCCAAGCTGTCCAACGCTATTGGACATTCCAGTGGTGATTACCACTGGAGGGGAGGGGTGGGGATCAGAAGTGGGAACAAGGTGTGCTCTGGCTTCTGCTGTCCATTCTGCTGGTTGTCCTGGGAGCTCATTATACAGGTGCGTTCACTTTGTAAAAATCCATCAAGCTGCATACACTTATTTTTTTTCAATATATTTTTATTGATTTCAGAGAGGAAGAGAGAGAGAGAAACTTCAATGATGAGAATCATTGATGAGCTGCCTCCTGCACACCCCACACTGGGGATCAAGCCCGCAACCCGGGCAGGTGCCCTTGACCGGAATCAAACCTAGGACTCTTCAGTCCACAGGCCGACGCTCTATCCACTGAGCCAAAGCAGGTAGGGCTGCATACACTTATGATTGGTGCTTTCCTGTATGTATATTATACATTCACATAACCTTTAACCCAGCAATTGCACTTCTGGAAATTAACCCACAGACATGCACAGACATGTGCAAAGCAAATGTCTGGAAATTAACCCACAGACATTTGAAGGTGCTCACTGCAGCTCCGTTTACAGAAACTAGAAATCGGAAACAACCGGAGTTCCCCAGCTGGAGACCGATTGAATAAATTTTGGCATCGCCTACAGTGAATTCTATGTGGCCCTCAAACAGAATGAGGCAACCCTTAGCCGAGCTTCAGATTTTACATGGATTCAAACGTAAATAAAGAGGTAAGGGGCAGAACTGTGGGCTTGTGGAAAAAACAAGACTATAGTATATACGCATGTATGTCTCTAGGGCATCCTATGGTAGAATATTAGCTCAGAAAAGAACCACCAGAGGCTGATAACAGATGTCCCCTCTGGACAGTGCAGGTCAGGGGAGAGGGGTAGGAGGGAGGTTTGTCACTGATAACTACTCTTTTGTACTTATAAATGTTGTACCACGCCTTTACTTGAGAATAAGTTTTAAAGCAAAGTCTTACAGAAGGTGCATGGTTATGGTAAACATTATGGCTCCTTCCAGACCTAAAGGCCGAAATGAAAGTGTTAGCACTTTGGGCTTACAAAGCAAATAACCCTTGGCACCACCACTCCCCTCCCGAGGGATGGAACCAGGCATAATGGGCTTTCCTGTAATGATGTGCAATTAACAGCAAACCCAGTCTCGAACAAATTACTTACTCACACTGGGCTCCCGCCCTGCAGTCAAACTCTGGCCCCTGGAGCTGCCCGGGCAGAGTTGGCAGGTGGCTGAGTTCTTGGCATGGGTGGGGAGATTTTTAAGCAGAAATAATTCCAGGGATGGGAAGTCAAGGACTTGGTAAGGTGAGCTCAGCTGGCTGGAGAGGAAGGATTCCGAGTTCTGAGACCAACCCTGACCCAAGAAAAGAAGCAAAGCCAGGGCCATAAGGTGGTCTTCTCTCTGGGCTGCAGGAGACAATGGCAGAACAAGGCCTTGACAATTCAAGATTAGTTTGTTTTTACTATTGATTTTAGAAAGGGGGGCAGAGAGAAACATCAATGTGAGAGAGATCCATTGATCAGCTGCCTTCTAAATACTCCCAGACCAGGATTTGAACCTGCAACCTATGTGCCCTGACCAGGAATCAACCCATGAGATGACACTCCACCAGCCAGGGCAAGCTTAGTTTAATGGTATAACCTTCTTTTGTACAGCACTTGGCTTGCCCATATGTCACTCTCTCCTCACATCACTGGTCCTAAAAACAGCCCAAGGCGGTGTGGAGCACAGTATCAGTCATCCAGTTTACAGATGGGAAAATGGAGGCAGAAGGAGGTTAAGAGGCTGGTCGGTGATTACATATGGAGAGAAGGGGTGAGGCCAGAAACGGAACCCCCACCTTCTGACTCCTGGCCTTCCCTATTTCCCCACCTCCACACCCACTAATTTTAGCCTTCCCTCTTTCAATTCGAACCTTCTGAGAGAAGAGCTCCTGAGGCCAGACAAGCAAGGGGCAGGCAAAGCATCCCAGAATCAGAGTCAAGGGGCCCGTGAGACCATCTAGCCCAGCAGTTTTCAACCCTGAGTCCACACTAACATTACCCGGAGAGCTTAAACACGGTAAGTTAAAATAAATACCCATGCCCAGGCATCGGTAGTGTTTTTAACACTCTCTACTTGACTCTGATGCAACACTGAATGAGAAGCCAAATCACCCCCATCTCAATCCCCCGTTCACCCTGCTGCCTCCCTGGGGTTCCCACCCACATGTCTGTGCTCATCCTCTGGCCCCCAAACATACTGCTCCTCCCTCTCCCACATTACGTAGTGTTCGAGACTTGGATTGGGAGCTGGGCTCACCTAGTTTTCTAGATGGGCAAGTCGCTTAACAGCTCTGAGGCTCCCAACAGAACGTGACTGGCTTAAGACCTCCCAGTGAGTCAGGGACAGAACAAGATTGGAGTCCGGATCTCTTAACCCCTAGGCCAGGTCACGTCTGCAGAGGGGCCACAGGGTAAGCCAGGCCTGGTGGCAGATCTGACAGCTCCTGCCGGTAGAATAGAGCCAGGGAGAGGCCGAGGGGGAGACAGGCGTGCGCATGAGTTTGGGTGCGATGGGTGTCAGTGACTTCCTCTCCCCTTTCTGGGTAAGTCTGCCCTGTGGCACACGGGAGGCAAGGGCCTCGTCTACACTGGCAGGCCTGGAATCTGACTGTGGACAGATGTCTTCATTTCCACGGAGGGGCCAGCCTCGTCTGAACTCTCCATAAAGAAACCCAGTGTCTTGGGGACAGTTTACCAGGAGGACCCAGTTTCCTTGCCCACAATTAAGAAAAGGACCTGCACTCCTTGAGCTCTTCCCTGGTCCCTGTGCTAAGTAAGCACTGTGCTCGGCCTACTTCATTGAAGCTCCACAACCATCCTAGACGTTGAATATAATTAGTCTCCATTTACAAGTGCGGTAACGAGTTGAAGGAACTTCCCCAAAATCACTCAGCTCGAAAGTGGTATCAGCAGGATTCGAAGTCTGGTTCATGTCCGAGGACTACCATCCTGCCCCCATCAAGACAGTAGGAGGGGAGGGAAGCTCAGTGGGCGTGGAAATGGTTACTAAGCTCCTAAGAGTGGCCGGAGACCTCCCAGATGTCCTCTGGTGGAACCCTCCCAAGCAGCGGCGGGCAAGGCACGCACATCCTCCTTCCACTCGGAGGGCACCCAGAGCAGCGGGAAGCACCTTGCTCAGGGGCATCAGCAGGTAAACAGCGGGGATCTGGCCGGGAATCCAGGGCCACAAAGCCTCCTGCACAGGCTGATGGGGAGGGAAACTCAGTAACGCCCGGCAGGCGGGTGGGGGTGGTCGAGAAGCACGCAGGAGCCAGGCCTACCCGCAGGGACGCGGAGAACCAAACGGCTGGTCAAGTGCGCACAGGTGAGCTAGGAGGTGCTACCTTCGTCGTAGCCAACCGGCTCTAACGATCCCGACCAGGGGGCTGAAATGCAGGCTGAGCCAGAATCTCCCCCTTTCCAGAGAGAGGGGGGCGAGGAGCAGCCACGTCTGGACGCAACCCCGGGCTCGGCGTGGGGGCGGTCGAGGGAGGGTGCCCCCACCTCCATCCCCGGGCCCTACTGGGGTCACTCACCCAGAACACTGTGGAGTAAATGACGAGCGAAAACTTGAGCCAGAGGTAGGAGAG